CGAGCAGCATCACTGACTTTCAGCTTGTTGTGTTTGTGGATATATGACTGACTTTAATTATCCACAAAATCATCAGATTCTCTGTAAGATTAAGGTCGACTATTGAACGGCGCATATTTTAAAGTAAAGGCTTTAAAACCAAGTTGACACTGAAAGTACAAACATCACTAATGTCACATAACTCTGCCGACATGTGGCCAACAGTAATGTTTTAATGTTCTTCATTATTAAGTGACATTATATTCAGTACTTACTTTTAAAAGTTTACTCTTTGGCCACCCCGCTTCAGCCATCCACCATTTTTCTCCAAAAAAAAATATCCACACCCACCGCTGCGCTATGAATCCTGGGATATATGGGGCCACGAAGTCTACACCGGACCCAGCCTTCAAATTTGAGTAAATGAAGGTCGCATTTGTCGACCGCATTTGGAGTACACTTCGAATTGGGACAGCCTTCGTCGCGTCGCTGTAACGTAATCGGTCTACAAATGCGCACTACGAAGTGTGCGGTCGCTGGATTGGGATTCAGCTTTTGTTTCTCTAAAAGAACACGCAGCACCGCAGACTGTGGTGTGAAACATGCTTAATCTCTTACATGTGCTCACTGATCACATTTTGTCTATTTCATTCAACTAAACAGGAGCAGGTGAAGCTCACTGAGTAATATTGGGGAATCTCAAAGCAGCTCGAACCAGCCGAAGTTTTCATTCAGGGTACACTGATGAGATCATTTACTTCCAGACAAGACAAAGCAGCTTTGCTCAGCTTATTAACTGTTCAAACTGATAACTGTTAGTAACATCAAAATAAAACCATTTTATTATTAATAAAATAATAATAAGATGAACATGAAGGAAGAAAGAAAGATGGGTTCCCACTTCCCTGTATTCACCAAAAACGAACAACCTCACAAAGTGCTTTCAGTTTGTTATAACTTCATGTACACGTTGGAGTATACATCCGATTACATTAATTCTATAACATTTTAGCAAAAAATAAATATTTTTCATAAGCAGTGCAGTGTTGTTTGTGTGTTTATCAAATCAAATAAACATAACATTAACAATATCTGATGGTTTGATGGATTTTCATTGCTAGACAGAAGCAACATTCCTGCATTAAGTGAAAACTTAAACTATGTATGCGGTATATTTTTGTACAGATGCTGACAAACTGAGTTGTAAAAATCTGCAAATTTCACCACAAACAGAGAACTTCAATTTCAGCAAAGGGAGCAAAAATGACTAAAGTGAAAGTTTCATGTTATTAAGTAACTACATGTGGAAATATCCAACAATTTTTTAAAATCCTTTTTTATTACTAACCTTTAATTTTATTTAATAATTTACATATTTTAAAAAAACTTTAAAAATGTAGTAAAAATTTGCACAAAGAGCTGACATAAAAATTGCGGTATAAACACCAACAAATTCTTTCTAAATGCTTCAGTGGAACAGGTTTTTGTGTTTTGTGTTTGTCAGACTACCATTTTTTTCAGAAATGGTACACTTCATTAAATGGTCAAGATCAGATCTTCATGCTGATAAAGACGTGAGCCCCGGATCGTCGTTTGACTGGTCTCTATCACAATGCTTGTTTTTTCTGAGCAGATTGTCACCTCGTCTAACTAAAATGAGAAGATAAAGAGTGACTTACATCATTGATCTCATTTGTCTCGAGCTTGCTATGTGACAAAAAAAAACTACAACTACAGACACATTTAGCAGCTGAATTAAAAGAAAAAACAGCAACAGTATGTAAGAAAGAGTACCTGCTCTGACATTTCTTTTTAAGCCAGACAGCGATGAGTGCAGTAACACAGGCCAACAACAATGCAAAGGATATAATGACTAAAATCCTGCCTTTGAGAAAAACAGAGAAAAAAAGGGGCATAAACATTGAAATATCTACTAAATAACAATAGACTAAGCAGAAAAAGTGGGTGTAAAAAATTGACATGTTAACATACCAACATTTCTGTGATTAGATCCAAATTTCTCAATCAGACCTGATAAAAGGAACCTCAACATTAAAATTGTGAAACAATCACCAATTTATAAATCAATGACATTGAAGAAGTTTCTAACCATCATCATGATAATCATCATAATCATAATGATCATCATCATCATACTCCTCCTGGACCTCGTAAATCATCACCGTCACCCCTCGCTGAGGAGCAGAGAGCACTCGTGCTGCACATCCCACCTGTGTGCTGTGTTTACATGAACCTGAGAGCACAGCTGTAGTGGTGACAGTGAATGTAGCGTTGGTGTTGGACACACTGACAGTGTTGTACTGTGAGAAGCTGAGGTCTTGTTGTGAGACACTGAGTGTTACAGTGGGAGCAGGTCGACCAGTGGCTGAACAGGAAACAACCCACTCTTCAGTAGAGTTTGACTCTCTGACATCAACAACAGGTTCATGCAGCTCTGTGAAGGATCAGGAAATATCATCAACATGTTCTTACAAACACACCAGCTGCTCACACATTTATGTCCAGTATGTTTGTTTGAAGAACTTGTTGTTTGTTAAAGAAGATTAAAGTTCTTACCATAGACCTCGAGGCAAGTTTGACCAGTGAAGGAGCCTTCAGGATAAGTGTTAAACAGACAGTGATAGCAGCCTTCATCTTGCTCCATCACATTCCTGATGACTATGGAGCAGTTCTGCAGTCCAGTGTTTTTAAACCTAAATTTATCTGTAAAGCCATCATTCACTCTCGGACCATAGTACTTGCTGTAGGTGGCAACATTTGTCTCCACATTATTTGAAATTTTCTGCCATGTGACCTGAAGGACGTCTTTAGTCTCCAAGAGCTGACAGCTGAATTCAGCATCTTCTCCCACTGCTGCCAGCACAGTCTGCTGTGTTTGGATCACTGCTGTTAGAGCTGCATGGACATATAGATCAAGGTGTGAGGAATACTGAGTATCCTGTTTGAGTTCAACTTACTGCCAAAGAAAGTCCAGTGTCGCCAGCTCTCACCATCATTCTCCCATTGTGTCAAGGTCCCTGGTCATTTGGCCCAGCATTTTGAGTTTGTTTTTCTTTGTCCTCAGTTAAGAATTTACTTATATATAATCATTTATAATCGTGTAGTTATGTTTTTTGGATGATATGTTTGAGCTTTTACTTTCTTAGGAGGCTATAATTATTTCCTTGAATTTTCAGTTTATCCTGCCCCACCTGTTTCCTGTATCTTGTTACATCACACAGTCTCCGTCTGTTAGACGTGTTCTCATGTTTTAGTAATCTCCTGTTTATTGTTTTTTCCCAATCACTTTTCTGTGTGCATATATACACAATCAATACTAGCATTATGAGCACTGACAGATGAGGTGAATAACAATAAATATCCATTAATCATGTGCATCAGTAGCTGCTCTTGTAACAACTATTCTGCATTTGACACAAGTCAGGATTAAATGTGTGGTGCATAACTCTGTCTGCTTAAACAGACTCAGATTACAAACGTTCACACAATTTTACCAGGAACCCATGGGTAACCATAGGTTTGTGCACATTTCAGCTCAGTCACCACTTAAATCACCCTGCCTAATCTTTAACATGTTCTGTATAATAACATGACTGATTATAACTTTAAGAAAACCATTAAGAGTTAGCGTTTGTATATCAAACAATAACAACATTAAATGTAAAACAGTCAACAAAACAAAAACATCACAACTTTATAATTACATACCTTCAAAACATAACATTGAATCTGTTGCTGATATTGAGTGTGGAGCCATTGACAATTTTGTTCCAGTCAAAAGCTCTTATTCTGTTGGCTACAGAGCCAAAAAATGTTAATAATGTATGTAATTTAATAATATTATAATTATAGTATTTCAATATTAAAAATGTAATAATTAACCACACAAAATTATTAGGGGGTACTGAGGTGATGCTATTTTTCTTCCACAAACCGCTACAGCACCCATAAGATCCTTTCTGGCACAGCCATGTGTGAGAATATGAATGTCTTGTCTCCAAAGCCAGAGAGAAAATGTACTTATCCACACGGGACAACAACCATGATTTGTTTTCGATGGTTTGCATTCTGGCAGTTGGAAAACTGGGTGTAGTAGTCACTCCTGTCCGACTTGAATTGTGTCAGATGAGAAAAACGCACAGTTAAAGACAGACTCACACACTCACTGTCTCATGACAAAATAAATCATTCTGACACTTTTATTAAAGTCAAAAAAAAATTTTTTTCTGCTTATACTCCAAGTATTTGCAGTAGTGATTATTACCTCAGTACTATCTGCGGATGTTTTACCTTAACTATGGTGTGAGAATTAGACCTTCTTTAAAGGTTCAATGATCTTTATTTTTATAAAAGGCTAAAAATTACAAGTGTGACGATAAGCTTGGTATGTATCAACAGAGAGACTGAGATATGTTAATAGGACTGGAGTATATTAATTATTCCCAGTATATCATGAGTGTGTATTTGCTTTAATTTGCAATTTAAATAAAACTACAATACAGTTAAATTATGTAGTGAGCTGCTGAGCTGGATAGTTTACCATCACACAATAGTATAATTTTGAGTCTTCAGGAAATCAGGAATAAACTAATCAAATAATTTTGTGATCTAGACAGAAAGCCTATTTTGACTGATAATCTCAGAGTTTAATACATTATACTCCATACTTCCACCACTACAGTATTCAAAAATAGTTCATCTTAATGATCCATACCACCACCACGACTGAAAGGAGTTATGATAGGCTACTTAACTAAAAATGTAAAGAAATTATCTTTCACTGTATTTTAAGGCCTAGCTCATACACTATTATTAATATCCAGTTTCCTCTCACCTTTGTCAAAGAGCCCAAAAATAAAAACAGCAGCAACATAATGTAAAACTCCAACGTTTGCCATTTCATTCGAATGAAATGATCTGAAAGGTTGGCCAGGAAAACCATGTGTGACTCGTTTTCCTTCCTTCTATTACAATGCTCCATTTAGGATGAAACTGAGATTTCAAGTGTAACCAGTTTTATCTTTAATCTCTTCTCACAGCCTAATTCAAATGGCAGAGACATTAAACGTAAAATTTCAAATGTTTACAGATTATTTTCAAAAGTATTGTATCTCTGTGTTCATTTGTTATATTTTTATGTATTTGCAACTACAATGCATGTTGATGACGTGGATCCTAACCAAGTGTTTAAACTATGATGTTGAACTAAGCTAAACTTCATCCCATAGTGTAAAACTACAGTATCTTAGCAACTTAACTGAAACTCCTTTAATAAAGAAAAAAAAACCCTCAAATCGCAATGTCAGAATGTGAAATGAAAACACTACACACAAGTCAAATCAAAAACACCATTTAACATATTTATCTGGTTTAAAGAAAGTAAGTATATGGAGCATTGGAAAATAAATAGTTAATGATACATAATCAAGAACATTGTCTCATTAAAAAACATCATCTACACCTTCATTTTAGGTAATGGAAGGCCAGGAATATGTTTTAACTTCTGTCTAATAAATTCCATTCACAACATTGTACAGAATGAAGAAACTAAACCAAATTTTTTTGTGTTACTGTTTCATCCAGCGCTACAAAGGATGAATCATTTGAAAGCAACCATTGTTTTCTTAAAAAGACACCAGCATTTATGTCTAGTATGTTTGTTTGATGCATTATGGTTCTGTCAGGGCATCTTAGGGATAAGTAAGTATATTTAAACTTCTTAAACGATCTAAATATTGGTAAATAAATAATGAAATTGCACAAAGTACTGACGTAAAAATTGCATTGTAGATTGTAACATGTCTTCTTTCTTTCTTTAGTACACTTTAGTACAACAGTTGCTTATCCAGCTTTAGCACCATTTTATTTAGGGACTGTTTAGGCACTTCTGTAAAAAACAAAAAACAAAACAACAAATATTCATCAAAGCTCAGTTTCATTGCTGGTGAAGGTGACGGTCATTTAGCTGGTGTTTCTCAGGCGCAGCTTGCTTTTTGAGCTGATTGTCATTCTAATACAAAATACTGTAGCATTAGTCTGTTAGTATTAGAAAATTAAAGTATATCTTAACAGAGTAACAGCTTAGGAGAGAGATATAAAAAAAAATAAAAAATTCCCCACTCGCCCCTGCAGGCTATCTATCCTTCAAGCTCGGGTCCTCTACCAGCGGCCTGGGAGCTTGAGGGTCCTGCAGTATCTTTGACCGCATTATCTCAGTATTAAATTTACTATATTGGCTCCCAGTACAATATAGAATTATCTTTAAAATTCTTCTATTAGTTCACAAAGCTTGCAGCAGTTTGCCCCCCCCCCCCAGTACATATCTAACTTACTTTTTACAACCCAATCAGATCTCTCAGCTCTATTAGGTTCAGATCTTTTAACTATTCCCAGAATGTGATCTAAGTGCGCTGAAGGTGGTTTCATTTACTCTTGTCTACATGTTTGTGTACATGCAAAAACAGACCCAAAATCTTTTGAGTTTTTATGTCATAAAATGTGCAATTGTCATTTTAATTGATTTAATCATGAGCTGATGCTGCACATCCCACCTGTGTGCTGTTGTTACATGAACCTGAGAGCACAGCTGTAGTGGTGACAGTGAATGTAGCGTTGGGTTTGGACACACTGACAGTGTTGTACTGTGAGAAGCTGAGGTCTTGTTGTGAGACACTGAGTGTTACAGTGGGAGCAGGTCGACCAGTGGCTGAACAGGAAACAACCCACTCTTCAGTAGAGTTTGACTCTCTGACATCAACAACAGGTTCATGCAGCTCTGTGAAGGATCAGGAGATATCATCAACATGTTCTTACAAACACACCAGCTGCTCACACATTTATGTCCACTGTTTGAAGAACTTGTTATTGGTTAAAGAAGGTAAAAGTCCTCACCATAGACTTGGAGGCAGGTTCTACCTGTGAAGGAGCCTTCAGGATAAGTGTTAAACAGGCAGTGATAGCATCCGTCATCCTGCTGCATCACATTCCTGATGACTATGGAGCAGTTCTGCAGTCCAGTATATTTAAACACAACTTTATTGTTAAAGCCATCATTCACTCTCTCACCATAGTACTTGCTGTACGTGGCAACATTTGTCTCCACATCATGTGAGATTTTCTGCCATGTGACCTGAACAACATCTTTAGTCTCCAAGAGCTGACAGCTGAATTCAGCATCTTCTCCCACTGCTGCCAGCACAGTCTGCTGTGTTTGGATCACTGCTGTTAGAGCTGTAGATAAAGGTGTCAAGCAAGACAAACACTCTCTTCAAACTCAACACTTACTGAAACAGAAAGTCCAGTGTTACTCCCACAGGTCTGAAATGACACACATTTTCACCTTCACCTTACTAATAATTCTCCCACCACCACAAGTAAAATCCTTTGAAACCTGAG